GGCATGGCTGAGGTTGTCAAGACTGCTGCCATTTGGGATGAGAAAGAGTTTACTGTCTTGGAAGAGTCGGCCGCGACCATCTTGTCGAGCGTTCGCTCCAAGGGCCAGAACAGACTGGAGCCTATCAAGGATATGCTGAAGCGCATTGTCACTGGCTCTGCTCGAGTCAAGGCAGAGGTTGTCTCTTCTGATGAGCGTGAGGGCGGACTCCGAAACCTGCTCAACTTTGGCCACTCGATTGGCCATGCTATTGAGGCGCTTCTCACCCCCCAGCTTCTTCACGGCGAGGCTGTGGCTATTGGTATGGTCAAGGAAGCTGAGCTGGCCCGATTCTTGGGTGTCTTGAGGCCTGAGGCTGTCGCTAGATTGGAGAAGTGCATTGCATCCTATGGACTGCCTACCTCGGTGAAGGACAAGCGAGTCGTCAACTTGACTGCAGGCAAGAAGTGCCCTGTTGATGTTCTGCTTAAGAAGATGGCCGTTGACAAGAAGAATGACGGAAGCCAAAAGAAGATTGTGCTGCTGTCTGCCATTGGAAAGACACACGAGGCGAAAGCAAGCTCCGTGGATGACAAGTCCATCAGAATCGTCCTCTCTGACTCCGTTGAGGTTACTCCTGGCATTCCCTCTGATCTTCGCCTCACCATTACCCCTCCTGGATCCAAGAGTATTTCAAACCGAGCCTTGATTCTCGCAGCTCTCGGCTCTGGTTCTTGCCGAATCAGAAACTTGCTGCACTCCGATGATACCGAGTTCATGTTGTCCGCCATTTCGACACTGGGAGGCACCTCTTACTCGTGGGAAGAGGGCGGCCAGCTTTTGGTAGTCGAGGGTAACTCTGGCAAGCTCAAGGCCTCTGACGAGCCTTTGTACATTGGTAACGCAGGAACTGCATCGCGTTTCTTGACCACGGTTGCGGCTCTGTGCGCTCCCACAAGCACGGCGACTACTACAGTTCTGACTGGCAACGCAAGAATGAAGCTTCGACCAATTGGCCCCCTTGTCGATGCCCTGCGCAGCAATGGAGTTGCGATTGATTACATTGAAAAGGAAAAGAGTCTTCCCCTCCGAATCAATGCCTCAAATGGCCTCGAGGGAGGTGAAATCGAGCTTGCAGCAACTGTTTCCTCCCAATACGTGTCTTCTATTCTCATGGCTGCACCTTATGCCAAGAAGGCCGTCACACTGCGATTGGTTGGAGGCAAGCCCATTTCCCAGCCATACATTGACATGACCATCGCCATGATGAAGTCGTTTGGCATTGAGGTCACTCCTTCTACCACCGAGGCGGACACATACCACATTCCTCAAGGTGTTTACAAAAACCCCGCCGAATACACTGTTGAGAGCGACGCCAGTTCCGCTACCTACCCGCTTGCAGTGGCTGCTATCACCGGAACCACTTGCACCATTCCCAACATTGGTTCCAAGTCCCTTCAAGGTGACGCCCAGTTCGCTGTCAAGATTCTCGAGCCTATGGGATGTGAGGTTCACCAGGATGACTACACCACTACTGTCACGGGCCCCAAGTCTGGAAATCTCAAGGCTATCCCCAACGTTGACATGACAACCATGACAGACGCTTTCCTCACGGCCACTGCCTTGGCCGCTGTGGCGACCGGAACGACGGAGATTGTTGGAATTGCCAACCAGCGAGTGAAGGAGTGCAACCGCATTCTGGCGATGAAGGATCAGCTTGCCAAGTTTGGAGTGGTCTGCACCGAGCTGGAAGATGGCATCCAGATCACCGGCAAGTCAAGAGAAAACCTGATCACACCGACAGAGAGCATCCACTGCTACGACGACCACCGTGTTGCGATGAGCTTCAGTGTCTTGTCACTTGCGGCTCCCGGTCCCGTTTTGGTGACTGAGCGAGAGTGCGTTGGCAAGACTTGGCCCGGATGGTGGGACGTCCTTGCTCAGGAATTCCGGGCTAGTCTCGAGGGCGTGGACACGGAGAGCAGCCGTGAAGTCAAGCCCAAAAATGCTACCAGCCTTCAGCGCTCCATCTTTGTCGTTGGCATGAGAGGCGCTGGAAAAACAACTGCTGGCAAGTGGGTTGCAAAGACACTTGGCTGGAAATTCCTCGATCTGGACCATGAGCTTGAACGCCGAGCTGGCATCACGATTCCGGAGATGGTTGGAGGCCCTCGTGGCTGGGAAGGATTCCGGGAAGACGAACTGGCGCTTTTGCGTGACGTTATCGAGGCGCATCCCAATGGATACGTCTTCTCATGCGGAGGTGGAGTCGTCGAGACCCCGGCTGCCCGGGAGGTCCTGAAGTCGTACGGCGCTAATGGTGGCCTTGTTCTGCTTGTCCAGCGGGATACCGATCAGGTAGTTGACTACTTGACCCAGGACAAGACACGACCGGCATATACCAACGAAATCAGGGAAGTGTACGAGCGCAGAAGGCCCTGGTACAGAGAATGCAGCAACTTCCTGTACTACAGCCCACACTCACAGGACTCTCCTTCAGTAGGAGAGACTGAGATTCCCGATGACTTTACGCGCTTCGTCTCTTTGATCTCTGGAAAGTCCAAGACTCTCGAAACCGTCTCCAAGAAGAGACAGAGCTTCTTTGTGTCATTGACGCTTCCCGATCTCAAGAACGCTGTAGACATTTTGCCTCGCGTTACTGCTGATTGTGATGCCGTGGAGCTTCGCGTTGATCTCTTGCAAGACCAGCAGCCCCAGGCCGTCATGAAACAGGTCTCTTTGCTCAGACATGTTACTGGAAAGCCCATCATCTTCACTGTCCGAAGTGAATCTCAAGGTGGCAAATTCCCCGATGACAACAACGACCTGCGTCGTGCGCTCTACCGCTTGGCCCTTCGCATGGGTGTGGAGTACATTGACCTGGAAGTGACATTGTCTGATGAGATTATTCAGGAGGTCAGGGACTCTCGAGGACACACCGTGATTATCACGTCTCACCATGATCCTGCTGGTGCTCTGTCATGGAAGAATGCCTCCTGGGTATCTGCTTACAACAGAGCTCTGCAATATGGCGATGTGATTAAGCTGGTCGGCACTGCTCGAAGCGTCGAGGACAACTTTGACCTGATCCGCTTCAAATCCAGGATGCTGGCAGCTCAGCCAACGCCCATCATCGCCCTCAACATGGGCTCTGCCGGAAAGCTCAGTCGTGTGTTGAACGGATTCTTGACTCCTGTCTCACATCCTGCCCTTCCATTCAAGGCTGCTCCTGGACAGCTGTCTGCGGCTGAGATTCGACAGGGCCTGGCTCTACTCGGCGAGATTGAGCCGCAAAACTTTTACTTGTTCGGCAAGCCGATTTCCAAGTCGCGATCGCCGGCTCTTCACAATACCCTCTTTGGCCAGGTGGGCTTGCCTCACGAGTACCAGCGTCTGGAGACGGACAAGGTTGAGGATGTGCTGGAGGTGTTGGGCAGCCCGGACTTTGGAGGCGCATCAGTTACCATTCCTCTGAAGCAGGACATTATGCCTCATCTGGATGAACTGACCGATGCGGTCAAGATCATTGGTGCTGTCAACACTATTGTTCCTTCAGCTGACAAGTCCGCGGATGGCCGCAAGCGACTCACTGGTGACAACACAGACTGGCAAGGTATGGTCTATGTTCTCCGCAAGGCTGGCGTCAAGACGCAGACTGGCAATGCTAGCGCTGCTGTAATTGGAGCCGGAGGTACCAGCCGCGCCGCCATCTACGCCCTGCACTCGCTTGGCTTCCAGCCCATCTACCTCGTCGGCCGAGATGCCAAGAAGGTTGAGAGCCTTGCATCGAGCTTCCCCGCCGAGTACGGCGTTCAGCCCGTTGCAAGTGCTGCTGATGCTGAGAAACTCGCCAGCAAGCCTGTCGTCAGCATCAGTACCGTCCCCGCCGACAAGCCTCTCGATTCAGGAGTTGAGGAGACCCTCGGCGCTCTCTTCAAGTCAACAACTGCTGCTCAGGGTGAGAGCCGCGTTCTGCTAGAAATGGCGTACAACCCTCCCCGCACCCCTGTGATTCAAATTGCGGAGGGTGCTAGTAACTGGACGACGATTTCTGGGTTGGAGGTTCTTGCTGCTCAGGGCTGGTATCAGGTATGTAACCCCTCGATTTGACTTTTTTCTTCAAATTGAGCTTTTCGGAGCTAATATTCTTTGTTTGTCTTTAGTTTGAGACTTGGACGGGTATTAAGCCGCTTTTCAGCGACGCTTATGATGCGGTGGTGGGTAAGGAGTAGATGGCCATAAAAGTTTTCATTTATAAAATGTAAATAAAGAAAATCTTTCGTTTATGAACATATGTTCGTGCCGGATCAGATTGGAGACGAATACAAAGAATCTTCAGCCTAGTTCTCCTCTTATTTTAGTCAGTGCCCTCTCTACTATGTTTATATATCTATGCTCTGTACGTGAACGTGACCACCTTTGCATAGGGGTTTGGCAACAGTGGGGAAGGGAATGCAGCAATAAGGCGCTGCAATACGGATAATCTACAAATATTTGCTTTCACGAGCTATGATGCTGCTTCTTTAGTTAGCGTTTGGACTGTGCATTACTGGACTAACGCTACAAAATGCATATATAATAGTTCAAGACTATTTGTAAAGTAGAGGGATGGCTATCCTTTGTTGTAGTGTTCTCCCAAATACAGCAGCTGTAAGACTAGGAGATTGATGATGCTTTTGCAAGCCCTTGATTGCTACCTATAACCAAGCTCCAGTCAGCTAAAATTTCCACGATTGAAAGCGCTAAAATTTATACTGTAAATAAATTTGGAGAGGTTATCTTAAGAGCTAAGGAGATCAAATTGCATTTTATAGCTGAAGCGTTTGGTAGAATATAAGCTTTGGGTATACTTTGGACTGAAGATTCCTCAACTGCCTTATACTCTCTTTTTGCATTTTACAGACGAAACGACGTCCTTATGACTTGTAAGTAGGATCAAAAAAAGGGGATTTCTTCGGATTATATAACGAAATTATTATAAAATTATTTCAATAAATATACAAAGAGTAAAAAAAAAGTTTTGCTGTCTAGGAGGTTCGAACTCCTGCATCTTTCGATAATGGTGTTTAGCTTGAGAAACTTAAAACCATCGCCATAACCACTCGGCCAAGACAGCTTTAAGACTTAGTCGCAATAAATTTCGCAAAAGATTACCTTATATAGCGTTGAAATAAAATACATTCCGTTTTTTTCTTCACATAATGAGTCTCAAATTGAGGAATTGATAAATGCATATAGCTATCTAAAACAAAAGGATTATTAATTTAATTTCTATCCTCATTTTTATTTGTATAAGAAGCTTCAGGAACTAGTATTTTACACAATACAAGTCACCGCGTTAACGCCTAAGCGGCTGCTTGCCGTAAGATACGGGTATCGGTCACCGATTTTTAATGTCAGACCGGATACTAACAGAACTGCAAATGCCCGTATCCTCACCGATCATTTGGACCCTCTTAAAAAGATAATGAAAGAAGGAAAAAGAAGCAAAGGGAGAGAAATGAAAAAGAAAGAGAGAAAATATATATAAGGCGTAATATTTCCCCTTTGTACACTAGGTAGCAACAGGGACTTAGCTACAACTTGACCCATTTGACAGTGCCTGATATTCTCTTTTTTCTTTTTGATTGACTTAAATATCTTGTTGAAGTTGATCCTTTGGAGAAAGAATAGCTGCAACAACCTCCCTAACTTACATCTTTTCAATTCTTCCATCATGGGGCGAGCATACTGGAAGGACCTTCCTAATGACCCAGAGAAACATCCGCAATTTATTAAAAAGATCATCGAGCAGAGCGATAGCAATCTAGTCAAAGATATACGCCAACATGAGTATCAACGCAACTTGGCTTTTAGGTCAGAGGACTATCCAAAAAGTAAAGGGATCCATGATCTCAAAAGCAAGATTGCTGCGGCAATCCAACAGCGAGGCGACATCGCTGATAACCCATGTGGTTGTTGCGAGCAAGGAATCGGTCCGTTCGTAGGCTGCATCCACATCCAAGGGATGCAGTATGGACGTTGCGGAAACTGTATATATGGAGGCAAGGCATGTAGTAATGCCGATGGTAAGCTGTGTTTTCGTTTCCGACTTCTTCAATTGTCCCAAGTTGACCTATTTGGTACTCTAGACGGTAGAGAGGAAATCTACAAGCTGAACCTAAACTCTTCCAGGACAAGAACAGGGCCTGTGTCTGGCGCAAGTCATCATCCCAGCCCGAGTTCTACGGTTCTCGAGGAGCAAGCTTCTGGGGAAGCGGAAGAACAAGCCAGCGAGACAGACAACGCAGACTCTTATCTTGTTCTTGGAAAGTTTGTGCTTCCACGGCCCCCTCCAGAGCTCAAGAATCGAGCAGAGAAATGGGAACCGCATCTTGCAAAGCTAAACGCTCGGAATATGGAAGGTAATGTTGCACTCAGCCACGTCATACTTCGAGGCGTAATATTCTGACTGTATGAGTATCTTAGACTTGCGAGACCGTCCGATCCGAGATTTAGACAAGTCATTCCTGGAATTTCAAGTTCGGGAGTCGGAGATATTTCAGTCTGTGTTCCAACAATCGCCGTCGCCAGAGCTTCTTGTGAAACCATCGGGCTCATGAACGTCCGCATTGGCTCACCGTCTTAACCAGCCGTCGTTCACGACGGACCACTGCGAGAATGGAGAAACAGCTGATTCATCAAATGGCTGTTTGGCCATGGTGATGGGAAATACGTATACACAAAATACGTTGGTGTTCGACCATGTACACCGACGAGACGTCCAATCAGAGGGCATTGAGAATTATCTCGAAAGATTGCTTAGCAGCCACGAATGCTATACGTCAAATATTGCCCAATCAATGGAAGCAAAAATCGAGATTATATACGCAGAAAAGCTCCGAGAAAGAAGGCTACAGACTCAAAAGTTTGAGATCCTGCCATTATGGGGAGATTTTGAAGTCGTAGTTCTCTTGCTAGACTTCGAGTCTAGTTCTGGTAATGCAGACCCTCAATATCGCTTTCGGCGTATCATGTTGGCCGCTAGCTACCCCCAGCATATGGTCTACCAATCTCAAGGCAACGTTACTGCATTGAAGCAAGATAAAGTCATGAAGGCTGCCGTCCTAATGGTTTGTGGTGCTGTCACCTGGGTAGACAGGTATTTTTCAGATAAGCTTTGGATGAGTTGTGTTCCTTCTTATCTACATCTCAACGAGATTCGACTATTTGGGAAGATTTTGGGAAAGGAAAGCCGACTACCGACAGTTATGCAGGTTGATGGAGATGAAGACGAGGCTAGACAACTGGAGAAAATTGCGGAAACGGGTGCTTGGGGTGTTTACTTCGACGCCCAGCCTCACAGTAGCGGCAAGTTGATGGGCTTGATACCGCCGGCTTTGGAAGCTTTGGGCACATCGGACTCCTCGAATGCCTGGAACGAGCTCACAGATTTACCTGAGGCTGTCCTGGAGTGGATTGGGGGACAGAAGCACGCTTTGTTCCCATATGCCTCTTTATCAAACTTCGGAAATGATAAGCGCATTGGAAGAATTTATTGAACGGCCAATTCCCGAATCAGCCTATACTAGAAGATGGTAGCGATACTAGAAGAATATACTGTTCGTATCAGAGAGATTCAACAGAGCAGGCTACAGTGCATAAGACAACTTCTAGCTGTGACGCCAGTGCACCCGTCGTGAAAATGACGAATTCCATATCACCGGAAAATCACGGAGATGGACGATTGGCTCTCGTTTATACATGCCATGACCGGAAAACAAGGTGGCAAAAGACCTGCAAGGCAGCGCAAGGGCCATATTCACCCCAATAGAAATATTGCGGAGGACAATGGGGGAGGAGTCGCGAGCATGAGCGCCATGGTGGCTCGAGCCTCGAAACGCGCCCCAATTGCCCCAATGTTTAATGGCTCCATTGTCAGCACGTTTCATGAGAGATAAGACGATTGGGGGGATTGACGGGGGAGAAATGTAGCAATTCTAGAAAGATCGATGAAAATTAGATGGGCACCTCGATACTGGATGAAGATTGCGAAACTACAATAATATGTAGATAGTGGAAGAATACTAGACGTCAATAGTGGCACGAGCTTCGGCAGAGCAGAGCAAACTACGGTGCCCAAAGTATGTACTCATGCCTCAATCAAAAGTGCCAAAACTAGTCTTATCTGTAAACTCGTATCTTCAAAATCAGCTGTTCTTATTGTACTAAAGCTAGTTTATATTATTGTAAGCGATCACGAATACTCACGGGTTCAACTCACGGTCCTGATCCCCAAGCGCTCATACCACCATACAATCCCACCACAATTCCTCCCCATTTAAACGAAAGATAAACCCCAGCTTCTGCATTCTTAATAGCTCACTCAAAGCACGTGCTATGAAGCACATACTACAAAGCGCATGCTATTTTTAAATCCATTCATCCTCGTTTCGTCTATAAATGTATGGCCTCTTCCTCCTCTCATCTCATCATACTCACTCACTCTCCTCTACACTCAACAAGTCCAACAAACAAACAAACAAACAATAACATCAATCTTTCAAGATGAGATTCTCTGCCCTCCTCGCCATCATCCCCTTGGCTTCGGCCCTTCCTCAGGCCCCGGCTGCCGTCGAGGCCCGAGCCATCGAACCCCGAACTGAATGCTCTGATACGCGAGACACCTGCGTGGTCAAGTGCAGACCTACCGGGCTTGGCTACATCTACTGCGTGAGCGCCTGCAACGCCGCCTACTTATGGGTGAGTCACAAATCTTCCTCCCTAATTCCATTAACCCACTTGCGTGTCTCTTCAGTAAGACTAAAGCCCTGAGCAGTGCAAGGCCGACAGCGACGACGAGTAAGCGTGATGCTTCAGAGGAGAGCTGATACTGGAACTGTCATCTCGATGTCGGTATCCCGTCTCAACAACACACTTCTGTAAGGCTTAGGTGTTGATGGAACCGTCTACATGTAGTTCAAAGTAGTAGAGCACATTTCCCTGGGCAATGGAGTATATGTATCGTTGTTTCTACTTGGGATCTTATAGAGTAAGGCAAATAGATATAGATACGAGAGAGTTGCATCGTTACTTTGTTCTGCCAAAATGCTTCTTCCATTCCGAAAACTCCTTTACTGGTCTATTTGTTGTTCATTTACCGAACCAAGTCTACTGGTACAGCACATGTATCTACTTACAGGCAATCCCTGCATCTTTATGCTAATGGGGCTATCGAAAACGAGATTCGTCGTCTTTCCCCGGCATACTTTGATGAGGTTTCGGACAATGCATGAGAGTGATGTTTTTGTAACTTGTTAATAAGTAGAGGCAAGAGATGCATGTGTCACAAAACAGGGCATGCCGTTTCGTGAAGCGCCATGTCCTAGGTTTTATTCAGCGATAGAGTCTGTAACGAGATTGTATATTGATGCTTTTTAATCACAGTACAGCAACGGCTTGCGTGGTGGTATGGATACTCCTGCGACGCCGCAAGTAGAGGCGTATCGTGCAACGCCGAGTGCTGTACTGGCAAAACTACACCGTAGCTCTGTTACAAAGCCTTCATACATATACAGCTTGCATCAAGACTATTTCTTGATTGTGTTTTATTTTGAGAGCCTTGCTATCCCCGAACAGGCGCCGATCCTTAGAAACGTAGCTTGGCTGTTTTAGTGAATCCCTGCCTTAGAATATATTCCGATACCCAAGCGACCTGGAAAGCTTACAGCCAGAGGCTCAGTGTATGACGTGGTAGCAGAAGGTGCTATCTATATATCAAACCTCAAGTACATTCTCCCTACTATACTTATGAACATAACCTCCTTACTCCAATTCAATAGTTCCGGGAGGTTTTGAAGAACTATCAGATTTTAGCCAGCACTCTTGAATCGGGAGGGGAAAGGGGAGCATACAGGTCATAGGTGACACGAGAAACTCCATCTACCTCATTGACAATTCTGCGGGCTATGGCCTTGAGTAAGGCGAAGGGGAACTCATAAGGCTCGGCACTCATAAAGTCACTGGTTGTAACCGCGCGAAGGCTATCAATGAAGTTAGGAATGACCTAGTTAAATAGGGGGTTGGGGGTTTTGGTGTATGGCAGCTTACATGATGATATAACCATAGACACGAGTG